CCCACCCCCCCCATTCCAGAACCTTCCCCGAGACCATTCTTAAAACCTTTTTTGAGGTGGGGGAACCCCAAAAAAAAAAACCCCTGGGACTACCCCAAAACCCCCCAAATTTAGGGGGGCGGTCCCGGCTGCGAGGGGAACCCCAAAACCCTCGAATCAACCCCCACCCCCCTCCTTTTCCGCCTCATTTTTGGGGCCGAAATCCACCCCAAATTGAACGGGATTGGCCTGAAACGCTCCAGGGGGAGGGGTCGGGGTCCCCCCGATATTTCGGGGGTCCCCCCAGAATTTTGGGGGGCTCAGAGGAGGGCGCAGAAGAATTTCTTCTCGCGGAAGGGATTCTCGGAGGTGGGGACGGGCGTGAGCAGCGGATCCTCGCAGGCGTGAGCCTCGCAGTAACTCAGCAGCTCCGCCGCCGCCTTCGACACCTGGGGACGGCAAAATCACCTCAGGCACCCCGAAAACAAACCTGGGCGGGCTGAAAATGCACCTGGGGGGGTTAAAATGCACCTGGGGGGGTTAAAAACGCACCTGGAATGCCTAAAAATGTACCTAAAATGCCTCAAAATGCACCTGGGGGGGTTAAAAATGGACCTGGGATGGATAAAAATGCACCTGGGGGGGCTGAAAATGCACCTGGGGGGGCTGAAAATGCACCTGGGGGAGTTAAAAATGGACCTGGGATGGATAAAAATGGACCTGGGGGGGTTAAAAGTACATCTGGAATGTCTAAAAATGCACCTAAAATGCCTCAAAATGCACCTGGGATTCCTAAAAATGTGTTTGGGATTCCTAAAAAGGCACCTGGGGTGGTTAAAATCTACCTGGGGTGGATAAAATGTACCTGGGATTCCTAAAAACACACCTGGAATGCCTAAAAATGCACCTAAAATGCCTCAAAATGCACCTGAGATTCCTAAAAACACATCTGGAGCACCTGAAAACGCACCTGGAATGTCTAAAAACACACCTGGAATGGCCAAAAATGCACCTGGAATGCCTAAAAACACATCTGGAATGTCTAAAAATGAACCTGGAATGTCTAAAAATGCACCTGGGATTCCCAAAAATGCACCTGGGATGCCTGAAAGTGTATTTTGAACGCCTAAAAACACATCTGGAATGCCTAAAACACATCTGGAATGGCCTGAAACACACCTGGAATGCCTAAAAACACATCTGGAATGCCTAAAAACACATCTGGAACGCCTCAAAAACGCACCTGGGATGCCTAAAAGTGTATTTTGAATGCCTAAAAACACATCTGGAATGACCAAAAATGCATCTGGAATGCCTAAAAACACATCTGGAATGTCTAAAAACACATCTGGAATGGCCAAAAATGCACCTGGAATGATGCATCTGGAATGCCTAAAAACACATCTGGAATGTCTAAAAACACATCTGGAATGGCCAAAAATGCACCTGGAATGTCTAAAAACACATCTGGAATGTCTAAAACACATCTGGAATGCCTAAAAGTGCACCTAAAATAACCAAAAAGTGCACCTGGAATGTCTAAAAACACATCTGGAATGTCTAAAAACACACCTGGAATGTCTAAACCACACCTGGAATGGCCAAAAATGCACTTGGAATGCCTAAAAACACATCTGGAATGCCTCAAAACGCACCTAAAACGCCTCAAAATGCACCTGGGGTTCCTAAAAACGCACCTGGGATGCCGAAAATTGTACCTGGGATTCCTAAAAATGCACCTGGGATGACTGAAAGTGTATTTTGAACGTCTAAAAACACATCTGGAATGCCTGAAACACACCTGGAATGGCCAAAAATGCACCTGGAATGCCTCAAAACACATCTGGAATGCCTGAAAGTGTATTTTGAATGCCTAAAACACATCTGGAATGTCTAAAAACACACCTGGAATGCCTAAACCACACCTGGAATGGCCAAAAATGCACCTGGAATGTCTAAAAACACATCTGGAATGTCTAAAAACACATCTGGAATGCCTAAAACACACCTGGAATGGCCAAAAAATGCACTTGGAATGCCTAAAAACACATCTGGAATGCCTAAAAACACATCTGGAATGTCTAAACCACACCTGGAATGGCCTAAAATGCACTTGGAATGTCTAAAAACACATCTGGAATGCCTAAAAATGAACCTGGAATGCCTAAAAATGCACCTGGGATGCCTGAAAGTGTATTTTGAATGCCTAAAAACACATCTGGAATGCCTGAAACACATCTGGAATGCCTAAAACACATCTGGAATGCCTAAAAACACACCTGGAATGACCAAAAATGCACCTGGGATGCCTGAAAGTGTATTTTGAACGCCTAAAAACACATCTGGAATGCCTAAAACACATCTGGAATGGCCAAAAATGCACCTGGAATGCCTAAAAACACATCTGGAATGCCTAAAAATGAACCTGGAATGTCTAAAAACACATTTGGAATGCCTCAAAACGCACCTGGGGTTCCTAAAAACGCACCTGGAGCTCCCCAGAACTCCCCCAATTCCCAAATCCAACTTTGCATTTCCAAATCCTTCCCCAGCCCCTCCCAAATCCCCATTTTTATCCCCCCAAAATCCCCTTTAAACCCCCCCAAATCCTGATTTTCCCCCCCAAATCCTGATTTTCCCCCCCAAATCCCCATTTTTCCCCCTAAATTTTCA